TTCTGTGTTCTAAATATGAGCATAAATGCTACGGAATAGAACTTTCCCTTTGAAAGACCACCTTTTGGTCTCATTCTGGGGAATTGCTTCAGACCATAGTAAGTAATTAATTGGAGTTGTATTCTGGATGCTTGCTCTATTAACTAACATTTCTGTTGTTAAGTAAGACATCCATTAAGTGAGTTTTGCCCCATTTTACGACCTTTCTTGCCTCAGCTGTTAAGTGAATCACTATGGCCCCTTTGTGACTTGTGGACTTCAACTCCCAGAATTCCTGAGCCAGCCATGCTGAAGTCCACAGGTCATAAAAGGGCCATAGATTCCCCCATCCCTGATCTGAATGATTTGACACCAACATCATTGTAATGACACATGCTAATTGTTCAGTTGCCGCAGTATTAAGAGTGGTATAACTTTATCCACTTCAATAGAAAAAGTAGTGTTGTCTGCCCCTGATCTTGACTTAGTAATAAAAAAAATAAGAGTGTGTCTGAACCAGGAGGAAGGAATGTCTACAAAAATGGATATATATATATTTTTTGTTTGAAGTCTGATGCTTGTCTTCTGAGACATCTGCTTTTTCTTGTGTGAGTTTGGCACCCACCCTCCATCTCTAATGTGGAATAATCATACACCTGTTAATAAGGGTTGTGTGGAAATGGCTTCTCTCCAAGGCGATGTTTATGTTCTGAGTATGGGGTGATGGTGATGGTAATTTTTCAATGACGAATTTCTTGAGTGGTAAAGGAGACGGGAAAGTGATACCTATTCAGAATAGCAGGCAGATGCAATGCTGGATTTTATTTATGTATTTATGCAGGTCATTTTTATGGTGCACATCTTCAGCAAGTGATTCTGGCTGACTGACATATGGTGCAAATTCCGCCCCCCCCAGTTTATAAAACCAGTATAAAAGAAAATAAAATGCAATTAAAAACGATCACAGTAAGTAATCAAGGCACCTCACAGGAACACACCATAATTTATCAGGTTCTACTAATCTCTGAGGGCATAGCCAGGTCATCATGGCCTTACAAACAGTCGGTAGAGTTGGTGCCATCTGGATATAAGGGAGAAGGCTGTTCTAAAGGGCAGGTACCCTGAGAAGTCTTATATCTTGGGTTCCATTAGATCAGGGGTCCCCAACCCCCAGACTGCAGACTGGTACATCCGCAGCCCATTGAGACCGGGCTGCACAAGGGGCGAGCGGGCACACGAATTTGTACATGCACAGCAGCTAGGTTGCGTGTGTGAAACCATCCCCTTCCCCGCCGCTGCCGTCAGTCTATGGACCCAGAAAGGTTGGGGACCACTGCATCAGATATCATTGTTTTGCAGAAGGGATGCACTATTGTAAGTGATTTGGCTTATCTGATGCCCTCTTTTTATTGGTTCTTCAAAATTCCTATCCATTGCTTGTAATTAAATTCTGTAGCTTTCTTTTGCTGAAATTCGGTGGCAAAAGTTCAACAAATGTGTTCAGGAAATCATAGCCCTCTAATGAGGATGCAGTACAAAATTATCTCTGCAATATTCATCAGATTTCGATAGGGGTGCTAATTCTATGACAAGTCTAGGTCAATGAAATTTTTGTTTACTGTGGCTATACACTTTCATGTGGCTTTTTAAAAACACACAGATTAAAAAAAATATTTCCATAACTGTTAAAACGCACAATGAATTTGCTCTGCTGCACTTTATTATAAACTCACAGAAGTTCAGATTGACTGCTGTTAAGTACCACAGATACTTAAAATCTGTGCATGTGGTGAAAAACATGCTTTCGTTTTATTAGACCTCTATGTTGAGTTATGTATTTTTTAAACAGCCCTGAGTCCAAAAGTTAAGATTATTGGTGCTGAAAATCTGAATTACCAGCTTTAAACCTTCAGCGAGTTTTTGTTTAATTGCTTAGGAGTGTCATCATCTTTCTGAAAATCCCTTATTTTCAGTTTTTTTTTTTTTTAAAGTAGCTTGCAATTCAAAAGAGGAATAGGCTTCCTGTCTTTTATTTTCTGAACCTATTTTTATAATGTTTGTACACTGGTGTGTTTTCCTAGTTAGGTGTAAAAGAAAATTATTTTTCCTATATACCATATTTTTTGTACTATAAGACGCACTATTTAGTCTCCCAAAAGGGGGTGAAAATGTCTGTGCGTCTTATAGACTGAATATTGCCGAGACCCCGCAAACCTGCTGGCCATTTTTTGGCCTCCGCACGGCCCATTTTCAGGCCTTTTTTTTTTGGCCCATTTTTGAGGCTTTTTTCAGCCCGTTTTTGAGGCTTTTTTCACCCCTTTTGGGGGCTTTTTTGCCCCCTTTTTGAGGCTTTTTTCAGCCCATTTTTGAGGCTTTTTTTGGCCATTTTTTAAAAAAATGGCCTGGAAAAAGCCTCAAAAACGGGCCAGAAAAAGCCTCAAAAATGGGCTGAAAAAAGCCTCAAAAACGGGGCAAAAAAGCCCCCAAAAGGGGTGAAAAAAGCCTCAAAAATGGGCTGAAAAAAGCCTCAAAAATGGGCCAAAAAAAGCCTCAAAAACGGTCCGAAAAAAGCCTAGAAAACAGGCAGAAAAAAGCCTTGAAAATGGGCTGGAAAAGGCTCCGCAGTTTTTGGCCTGCGGAGGCCAAAAACTTTTTTTTGTTGATTTCCTCTTCTAAATTTAGGTGCGTCTTATAGTCAGATGCGTCGTATAGTCCAAAAAATATGGTACTTATCACAAAAGTGGTGGGCACCCCATCACTGGAAGCTTTCAAGAAGAGACTGGATAGCCATTTATCAGAAATAGTATATGCTGTGTGAGTAGGGGGTTGGACTAGATGACCTCCAAGGTCCCAACTCTATTACAAGCACGTGTGACTCATTTATTCTTCTCTCATGAGCCTCCATGGGACTTTGCCGTTTTCACCAGAATAATGAAAGCAGCAGCACATCACTGTCTTCCCTTTTTGTAAATTCACGCAATATCACAATGCACATACAAAAAGGACTTGCTTTCGGATACCACAGCACAGTTTTGCACTCCCCCCCCACCTCAGCAGGATGCTGTTGTGCTTTTGTAAGTGTAAGTCAAACTTAAATAAACTGTAAACCTATAGTTAACTCCTGCTGGTTAAACACTTGCTACAAATCATATTCGGATAGGAGAAGGGGGAAAAAAATCATTTCAAACTGGAAACAAAAACTTCAGACCTTGAAGGAGAAATAGAGAGGAAACATAAGGGTCAGGTGAGTTGCATATTATTGAAATAACAGGCTGCTTCTAAGTCAGCCTATTTTACAGCCACAACTAGCTGAACATCAAAGGACTGAAGTTTGAACCATGCCATGATCCACATAAGGATTTGCTCCTTGGTTCTGACATCAGACTACAAATACGTGTGACTTCTCATCCCTAGTACAGATGATTAGCACTAGAGAAGTAGGAGATTCCAAAGTTGAAAGAAATCTGTCTAGAATTGCCAAATATCACAGATGCCGCTATGGTGTAGTTTACCTACTGCTTCTCTCACACATGCTGAATTAAACAGCATAGGGAACAAAGGGGGAGAGCCAGACGGAATGGGAGAAGTCACAGCTGCATTCTTGTTTTGCAGCTGTGAATTTCTTAAAGCAACAGGCACAGTCTCTGCAATTGCAGTCTGACGGCCTTAGATCTCATGTTCTCTACTAAATTTAAAGCTTTGGGTTGTTGTTGTTTTTTTAAAAAAAACTTTCCAGGACTAAAATACTTGATTTAAGAAAGTACCTTTAAGCATTTCTAGTTTCCTAAATGTTAGAAAACATGGGAATGATGCTTCATATTGCTCAGATTCGTATTCTGGTTACTTTGATTTGAACCTAAAAGAAATGTACTACGGGATTGTTATAAGATACATATCTGTATCCTTATGTTGTATTTAACAAATCCTATTTTTGAACAGTCAGATTATATAGCTAAGGAAAATTTGAACAGATTCAGTTTAAGCTAGATCAAATTTAATTTCAATAGCTTATTAAAAGAATATTCCAGTGTTAATCTGATCTTCTGAAATGCATGTCATTATTTTAAGCTTTGTAAAGCTTGTGTAAAAATGCTTTAAGCCTGAATAGTTAATCAAAGACTGAGATGGCATACTCATTTGGATCCTTCTTCTTTGACTCATCTGCTTTATGGATCAGACGTTATTTTGTTTTTGAGTGGAGCACTCAAGGTCACAAAAAAATGTGAGGAGGAGGTTTTGCCCTTAATTCCTATTGGGAAAAAAAATAAAAATAGAATTCAGATTCTTTGACTTTCTTTTGGTTTTATATATGATCTTGTTCCTCTGCCTGAATACTCTCTGAAAACAGTCTGCAATACCGAGAATGAGATGACCCCCAAATGATACGAGACAGCAGTTTTAAGACAGCAGCAAATATAAAAGTTAGATAGACAGCTGCAACTTGAACATGCTTATCTATGGCCTAATTACCTAGGTAGTAGTGTTACAGAACACTACAAGTCATTATTACAGCTGTTATTTAAAGTTGTATCTGCAATGGGCTTTTTTTTTTTATTTTGCTCATATTCGATATAATAAAAGCATCAGCATGTCTCTTGCACTCATTAGTTTAATGCATGGTTAGCTCTGATACCTTCATTTTCCTTAGCAAAATGCTAAGTTCCCTGTAAGATAGTAAATCGGAAGATGAACTTTCATTGAGATTTAATCATGTTACTAGTTCATAATAAACATGTTAACTATAAAAATATTGACAGGAGTCTGAAGCCAAAAAAATAAAAAAAAAATCATTTCAGCAACTTTTAAATACTGCACAACCGTTTTTGCCTTGTAAGCAATGCTCCCGATTTCAGATGGAACTCTACCAAGCAAATTCATTTTGCTCTCCCTTTTCTTGCGAACATGCTTTATGGCCCTTTGGAGACGATGTGATGAAGAAAATTGGCGGGAACTAAGCTCAGAAATGGGTCCAACTGTCAGGAGGTGCTCAATTTGAACTGCACATCTTTCTCTTTTGTCAGATTGTTGGCTGTGATCATCAGCTGGGAAGCCCTGTGAAGGAAGATAACTGTGGGGTCTGTGATGGCGATGGTTCCACCTGCCGGCTTGTTCGAGGCCAATATAAATCTCAGCTCTTGGCAAATAAATGTAAGATGTTGACTTGACTTTTACCTCAGTGGGAATACGACTGTTCTCCAAACCATAATATGTAAAGAAAAAAGAAAGAAAGAAAGAAAGAAAAAGGAGTGTTAGGTCCTTAAATTTTTAGCAACAACCAAAGCTATCCTAAAAAATGTTTTCTTGAACTTTCCTGGCCTCAACCTGGGAAATCAAATGCAGTTAATTTCTGAATATTCCATCTCCTCCCAAAAAAAAAAAAAAAAGGATTGGATCCTTCTGTTTTGGGAGCTGTTAAATAGGTTTGCCAGATGTCACAAAGAACGTAGCTATTTTTCTTTACATATCAGAGGACAGCTCTACAGATGAGACCGGTCCTGCGGCGTAATAGGAAAAAGCTGCACCTGCTGAATAATTTTTGCCTGCTCTTTTGTCTGTTAGATATATGCAACCCGCATTGTGTTTGGAATCATGCCAACTGTAGCGGACAATGGGGCATGCTCATGCAGTTGTCAGTGAAAAATAATGAAACAAAACGTACATGCCCTGAAAGCATGCAAAGACTTGCGAAGTTGGAACATCCCAGAGTTAATTCATTCATGGAAATAGGGTAGCTTGGGCCAAACTACTGCATATTGTTAACCCAGCAACCTCTTTGAACTGCGAAGCCAGCTTGAGAGAAGATGATTTGCGGTTTATAGGGCTTGGGGAGGTGAAGGAAACCCAGCCATTCATTTGCCAGTAGTTCTTCCGTATGAAGTCATGGGCTTGATTTAGACAGCTACATTTACCATTCAGAAGTGGTTCTGGAAACATGCAGGGGGAAAAGCGATTCCATCCTAATCGTGTCCATTTTTCATCGCTAAATGTCTCTGCAAAACAGAAAGGGGCAGTTTTGTAACATGTAGCATGCTATTAAACGTACGCTTTATTTTATTTTTTTTCCTCATTGTGCCAAAAGTGATTTCAGCACTATATCTGCTTCAGGTATGTGAGTATTTGTGTACATACATTTAATTCTATTCTGATTGTAAAGAAGGGAGGGGAGGGAAAAACCGGTACGTTACCTAAACATCTAAAAATCACATTTGGAATAGTCTTTGCTGAATATCTTATTCCATCTATTTATGTTTGATTGCTGTAAGGAATGTGAAGAGACATTTGTTTAAAGAATCATGTTTGCTGTCAAACAGAATATTTTCTTGTCTAGAAAGTTCATGCTACATCCACAGTTGGCAGATCAGCGTTTTGCATGTTGTTGTATTAAGTGAATGCAGAGCAAAAAAAAAAAAAACCCTCAAGAATCTCACCTGGGTGTTCTCTAAGTGAATTGGATTTCAACTTCATTTCTGATCAATATAATCAAAAACAATAGTTGCAAACTTTGAGGTAGAGAAATATGAGAAATTAATTTACAATCTTGGCCGTTCTTGTGCCAAGGAGAAAAAATTATCATAGGCAATGTGGTTTACTGCATTCTGCTGGTACTATGCTGGCGAGAACAGAAGAACATTTCCATCAAGTCATGATGCTTACTGTAAATCAATTACCGTATCCTTCATCACAACCTACTGTATTTACAAGGCTGCAGTAATAGTAGCAAACTATGTAGAATGGCTTGAACTGCAAACTATGTAGAATGGCTTGAACTGCTTGGACAAAGGGCACCTTTAAAATAGAATAAGTAAACCAATAATTCCATTCCAGATGCTTTCCTTAAATATAAAGGTTGTCTTTAGAAGAGCACTTGACGGCCGTGACCGGGAGGATTTTTCATCAGGTTCGCCTGATCCGCCAGTTGCGTCCCTTTCTAGATCGGGACTCCCTATGCACAGTCACTCATGCCCTCGTCACCTCTCTTCTGGACTATTGTAACGCTCTCTACATGGGGCTCCCCTTGAGGTGCACTCGGAGGCTCCAACTGGCGCAGAGTGCGGCCGCGCAGGTGGTTATGGGAGCGACGTGGAATTCCCATGTAACACCTCTCCTGCGCAAGCTGCACTGGCTCCTGGTGCTCTTCCGAGTGTGCTTCAAGGTTTTGGTTATCACCTTTAAAGCGCTCCATGGCTTAGGATCTGGTTATCTATGGGACCGCCTGCTACCACCAATAGTCTCTCACCGGCCAGTATGCTCCCATAGAGAGGGGCTCCTCCGGGTGCCGTCGGCCAAACAATGTCGACTGGCGGCCCCTAGGGGGAGAGCTTTCTCTGTGCGGGCACTTACAATCTGGAACGAGCTCCCCCCGGAGATACGGAGGATCCCGGATCTGCGCACCTTCCATCGCGCACTTAAGACTTTTTTATTTCATCAAGCTGGCCTGGCCTAAATCTTCTCCCCTTTTTAAATGTAAATTTTAATTTGTTTTTAAATTATGGGGTATTTTAAATTTGTCTCAGCCAAATTATTTAATTCGTTTTTATTCTATTTTAAATTTTTGTATTTATGTGTTTTATTCTGTGGCTGTTCACCGCCCTGACTCTTTCGGGAGTAGGGCGGTATAGAAATCCAATAAAATAAAATAAATAAATAAATAAATAAAGCTTTTTAAAATGTAGAAGTGATTACTAATTATGGTGATAGCTGTGGTACAGATATCTGGCCCTTTTCCATAACTGCTCTCTTCTTTATTTTTCTTTTTGTTGCCACCGTTTATGTTTCCTGCTTACATTTAGATACTTTCACTGTCTTAATGCTCCCGGTTTTTAGTTCTATCCTTGCTGCTTCTCATGCCTCGTTTCTCAGGTTTCGATCAACTCTTAAATGCAACATGGAGATTTAATTCGCCATGACATTTGGAAAACTGGAGAACAATTCCCATCCTGGACGCAAGGGAGGAAAAATGATAACATGAATGCCATGTTGTCGTCGTGATGTTCAATTTTGCATCAGATATCCCAATACGATTCACGCCAATTCCACATTTGCATAAGTTGTACGATGATGTCATGATTCATAGGCCATCATTTGGAGACAAGGAAAAACATCTCCAATATCCTTTAACCTCACTTCGCTTTCCAGAAGGAAACTCATGGGAATTGATGAATTGATCCTTCTGATTAACCAGCAAATGGACTGGTACAGTTCTCTCCCCTCCCCCACATACCGCCTATGAGTAATTTCCATGTGTCTGGAGATTAACCCACTTAAACTACTGCTTAAGCAAGAATGTCTGAAAGTGAATCTCAATCTAGACTTGATGAATTATAAATGCTAAGCCACGCTCATTGCTTCAATTGCTTTGCCTTAAAAAATTACTTCCCTCCGGTTTCCTCTTGTTCATCATTCCTTTTGTCTATGAGTCTCTCTGCTTTTTCTTTAAATTGGCAAACTTCAAGGCAAACCTCATCTCCTTTTTTTAATTCTTTGGGGACAGCCTCGAGAAGCAGAGTAATAAATGAATAGGAGAACTATTAACAGATTAACAGAATTGGAAAGGACCTTATAGGTCATCTAGTCCAACCCCCCACTCAACCAGGAGACCCTATACCATTTCTGACAAATGGCAGTCCAATCTTTTCTTGAAAGTCTCAGGTGATGAAGCTCCCACAACTTCCGAAGGCAAACTGTTCCATTGGTTGATTGTTCTCACTGTCAGAAAGTTCATCCTCATTTCTATGTTGAATCTCTCCTTGGTCAGTTTCCATCCATTATTCCTTGTCTGGCCTTCAGGTGCTTTGGAAAACATTGAGCGCTAGGTTGATCATGCAGAAATGGTTGAGCAGCAGGAGAAAGGATGCCAGAAACTTGCAAGAAACATACCTCAGCCACAAAAAAGCATAGTGCTTCCACCCTGTGCAATTTGAACTTTGGATATTCTTACGTTCATTTGCAGCCCTAATGATTTTAAATAAAAGAAAACCAATTCTCCAGTGTTGTAGATGGAATCCCCCACTTTTAGAAATTGTAGATGAACAAGTATACCTAAATGGATGGGGGGGGAGGGAGGGAGAGAGAGAGAGAAAGAGACCCTAACTAACTTAGATTTTCCCTAAGAACCTTTTCCAATGAGCCATTTATACATTATCCAGACCTTTTTAAATAAAGTATGAATTTGAATTACAGAATTATTGAACTTCTGTATCTTCACTGCTATCCCATAATGACATTTGCACCAGTTCTGATTACTTCAGTGATTGTTGGAATTTATATTAACCAAGCCAACAAATAATTTTAGGTGTATGCTTTCTGCTAAATTTATGACCAATTAATGGCTATCTTGATTCTTGTATTCACATTCCTCCCCTGTTGCATCTCAGCATGCAATTCTTCTAGTAATAACAAAAAGAAAGACAAGGGAAAAAAATCTTTATAGTGGCCTGATTCCCATTTGTTCACTGTAAATATTACAGAAATCCTTTGGAAGCTAACTGAGCAATCCGATGGGTGCCTGACTGCGTGAACTGTAAGGGAGAAATATTGTAGGACATGACTGGAGAGAGGCAATGGAGAGGAAATATGAACAAATGCATATTTGAGCTCATGGATTATATGCAGGCACCCAAGTGGGCATTTCAAAGTTGTGCTCTGAGTGATGTGGTAGTTGGGGAGACAAATACAATTGAAATGCCTCTGTGAATTAACTCTGTGAAAGTTAGAAAAATATATGTAGGGAGGACTTGTGGAGGAAATGAAGAAACGTGGAGGTGTAAAAAGAGCACTTCCCTAGAAGCAGATCACAAAAAGGTCGCATTCCAAGAATAATAAAGCAATCCTGTAATATTCGGATGTGGTTGTGCAATTGGTGTTGAGTTCCTACTAAAATTAAAATCAGTTTTTACAGCCCAGGAACTCATAGAAGGAATACTTTAAAATATTAAGACATATTGTCATTGAAGAGGCATAATCTGGAAACCAGTGCACATTTTGTGTAAATGGGGCATTCTAGGGTCACAATAAAAATGTTTTCCTTGTGGTCTAGTTGAGTTTGGAGGACATGCACTCTAATGTTACAAATTTAAACAATCGATCAAGGAACTGCTGTGCTACATGGGAATGTTTTAAAAGAAAGAAAAGGATAAGATTTTTTTTTT